CCCAGAAGCACTGGCTGTTCTGAATTTTGCCTAAAACCCTATTTTAGGCTGGACCCAGATTAGCACTGAGCACTGGCTAACATCCCTGAAGTCAACTGGAGCCATCTTCTCTCTTTGTAATGTGTGCGACAAACAGGCCCTGATCATCAATCTTGTACAAACCAGTATCTAAAGATTTGGGACCAGGTTGAAATGCAACACCATCACTAATGGAAGACACTCAGGGGTTTGGTCAGATTCTAGTGGAAGCTGACTCCACAGACACGCTGAGCCTCAGTATTAACTCACATCTATGTTACGCATGTGCAGACTCAGCTCAGCTAAAGTCCAGGGCAATAGCACAACAGAAGTAGGAAGAAAAATCAGGCTAACAAACAGTAGAACTTCACACTGTCCTGCATTACATTGGTGATTAGCTACAATAGTATAATCAAAGCTCTGCGATCAGTTGCTCTAGTGCAGTGATTCTCAACCTGGGTACCTGAGCCCCTTAAGGGTGACATGGCGTGCCACACAATAGGTGTTTGCACACTCTTTTAGGTGTGCAAACACCTATACATCATAATGTTTGGCACACTGGATTCCTATTTGAAATCTCTCTTTTATCTTGTGAATGATCTGTCATGGTCATTCTGAGTTCTTTGCAACAGAAAGAATTGTTCTTCTATTTTTTTCCAGTGCAACATATAGATGAAAGCTAAAAGCTGGCTGAGGTCAGACACAGAGAGTGGTAGCTGACAGAACTGAATCACCATGGCACATAGTGACCAGTGGTGTCCCCCAAGGCTCTGTTCCCCGGCTTGTACTCTTTAATGTCTTTATAAATTATCTGGACTCTGGTGTCAGAAGCGGACTGGTTAAGTTCGTAGATTGTAAGGCCCGAAGGGACCTTGGCAGATCATCAGGTCCAGCCCCCTGCACCAAGCAGGAAAGACAACTGGAGGTCAAGTGACCCCAGCAAGGTGACTGTCTAGTCTCCTTGCTGGGGTTCACTGGATGACACCAAACTATGAGGAAGAGTGTTCACGTTTGAGGATAGGGTGGTGATCCAGGCTGACCTCGATAGGCTCACAAGGTGGGTGGATGAAAACCTGATGGCATTCCACACAGAAAAATGCAAGGTGCTCCACCTCGGGGTGGGGGGGAAAAACCCCACATCACACTTATAGGCTTGGCAGTGCTGCACTTGCTAGCACCACGACTGAAAGAGACTTGGTGGGGGGTCATGATTGACCACAAAATGAACATGAACCACCTATGTGATGTCGCAGCTGGCAAAGCAAACAAAACTCTGGCTTGCATCAACCGATGCATCTCAAGCAAGACTCAGGAAGTCATCCTCCTGCTGCACTCAGCCTTGGTGAGGCCGCAGCTGGAGTACTGCATCCAATTCTGGGCTGCACAATTCAGAAAGGATGTGCTAGGGTCAAAGGATCTTGCTGGGATCCTTTGACCCTAGCTGAATTCCTGCCCCTGGGGCAGGGGGCTGGCCCAAATGATCTTCCAAGGTCCCTTCCAGCCCTAATGTCTATGAAATCTATTTTCCAAGGGGTGCCTTGAGTCTAACAAGGTTAAGAACCACTGCTATAGGCCAAGTAGGAAATGACTTCATTGATTCCCATGGATGTAAATCTAAGGATTTGGCTTCTGAGAGCCTGCAGCTCTTCTTGTTTATGCTGTTTCCCATCTGGAGTAAATCCCTTGAAGCCCATAGAGTCACACTGGGGTACAGTTAATAGAGGCAAAAGGAGAAATCAAGTTTTTGGTTTTTGCAATTTGAGGGCTTTTGCAACTTCAGCCCATTACCAGCTGGGATGGACAGGCCCATGACTGTTGAAGGTCAAAGTGAGATTAAAAGATCGAGGGGTAAGTGTAGCGCTCCTTTTTCTTCCATCTCCCACACATACCAGCACTGAGCTAGACCCCCTGAACTCTCCAGAGTAACAGCCCCTGACAGCAGCTCCAAAGCATTTAATAATATAAAAGACAAACACAAAAGGGGCCAGCAAAGCCAAGCCCGAGTTGGAACAGAGCCAAGGCAGGGCTCTCTCTGCGCTGCCTGGGGAGTGAAATTCATTCCTGGCAGCTGAGAAGGCAAACACATTAATATATTAAAGAAAAGCCTGCCGAAAACGTCAGGGTGGCCTGAATTGGATACCGCTGCCACGCCAGCAGCAGCTGGCAGTGTGCACAGTGACCACCGGCCTGACAGATCCGTTACCCCCAGGCTGGGGCTTGAGCACACAGCTGAGGTTCCCGGGTTGCTTACAGACAAAAGGTGCAAGGCCAGTCCTCAGCTAGAGCACAACTACATGGGCCATTGGCTTTGTACAGCAGTTCTGATTTACCCCGGGTGATGTGGCCTATAGAGTCACGATCTCTAAGGTGCAATCAGGGAAGCTGTTCCAGCTTCACCCCCACAGGCAAGGATTTGCCTAGAGTGCAGGTGTACCCACAGAGACCCAGAAATACACTGGGCAAGGCCCTATGCTGCTGCAAGTGGGCACAGCTTCGTTAGTGCAGCCATGCTACTTTACACACTGATTGTGGATCTGTATCAGTGTCAGAAAGCCATTCTTTAAGTTAAACCCAGTTGTTTCACATGGAGTAGCAGGAAGAAGGACTGGGATCTTTTCTTTAAATAGAGTCCAGACTGCTGTGGTAGCAGAAGGAAACCACTGCTGCAGCAGCACAAAGCTGTCAGGCTTTATCTGCTCCCCTCTGAATGAAGAGCTGCTGGACCAGATTCTAGTCTTGCGCTGCCATTACATTGGCAGCAGGTCTGTTGTGTTCAGCAAGGTGCCGCCTGCTGTAGCTTGCTGTAAGCAGACCCATCATCAAGTACGAGCCCTTCACAACACCCCCGAGACAGGACAGGGCTGTCACTTTGTCACAGATAGGAAACGGAGGTCCAGCGAGGCTACTTGAATTTCCCATGGTCCCCGCCCCTGCCTCCCTAACCACTGGGCCATCCTTCCTCAGAGTCAGGCTCAGGTATTGGAAGGGGGGCTTCTGGGATTGCTCCACCATCTCCTTCCACCCCATGCCCATGCTCTGCAGCTTCATCAGCTCAGGGAGGAATAGTGCTGCTATCCTGAGGCACGGAAGAACCAGGGCTCCAGTCCACCCTGTGGCACCCCAACATATGACTCCAGAGGGCCTGGGTGAGCAACAGCCATCACCCAAAGGCAGGTCAGACCATCAACCTCAAAATGATGCACATCTACTAGCAACATGGACTGGCTGCTTCTGGGCCCAGGCAGTTTTTATGTGAGGCACTAAGCTAGCCCATGGCTCCATAACTGTTCTTTCAGGCTCTGAAACACCTTTGTACTCTAAGGAGGCAACTGGCCCATCAAACCCATAGATTTGGCCAGATCTCAAATCCTTTTGCTCCACCGTCTAGTTGGTGACGCCCCCTCACCATCTAGAGGGGCAGAGATGTTGCACCGTCATTTAGCTGGGCTCTGCAAAATATAAATCTGACCAGAATTTGGCTGCAAAGTTAAAGAAAAAAAAAAGAAAGAAAAGAACCACCACTTCCACTGTAGGGCTGGTCCTAAGAGAACTGCACTGAACAGCACGTGAAAGGATCACTTGCCTTGTCTTGTTTTTACAAATGGGGAAGCTGAGGCACAAGAGGGGGAAGCAACTTGCTGAAGGTCACCTGGCAGGGGGGAGTGCGTGCTAGGGACAAAATACACTTCTCCTACTTCCTAGCTCTGTGCCCCAGTCACTTCACCTCTCTGCCTCCCTGGGAACTGCTCAGCCTACCCATTCCCTGTCATGATCAATGCAGGCTGGGGGCAGGTCATTTCTAAGATGTTCTTTCACTGTAACACACTCTGAGAGCCTGATCCTTCCCTCACCCATACCCATCAGGAGCAGGGTGTTGCCTTATAGACGTAAAGCAAGCATCCAAATCAAACCCGTAGAAATGCAAAAGTTCCATATCTTTCCTGGTTTATTTCTGTCCTTTTTCCATTACGATTGTTGGGGTTTTTTCTTTTTTTCTGGCAGCCTCCAAGTCGCAGTGCCCTGAAGGCTGACTCCTGAACACAAACAAGCCTCAGGAAAGCTGTCCCAGCCCAGCTGAGATGAAGCATTTAAAAGGGGAAGGTGTTTAACAAAAGTGCCCCTGGGGCAAGAAGCAACATCTTGCCTGTTTTGTTTACTGGCTGCTCTGCAACTGCCACCCACCCAGACCATCCGTCTGCAAAACATCTAGTCCTTGGGAGAGGAAATGGTCACTTGAGAAGGAAATCAAAATTGAGATGGGAAGCAAGAACAGCCTCTTTTGGATCTGTTATGATTTCTTTGGTTTTGGGCCAGCTACTTGAGCTACACCTCCTCCCTTGCGCTACACCTCCTCTGCAAAACTGAACCCGCATAAGGACTGGAAAGGTGCTGAAGGTGTATTGTTCCTACTTTCTAGAGCCACCGAACATGCCTGCATGGGAGGGGTGTGTCTGTGCACTGGGTGAGAGCCCGGAGCACGTACTTCCACTGGAAAAGCCTGCGCGTGAGACAGTAACACTAGGAGCCTAGCGCACGCCTATAGCCCCAAGACCACACCAGACAATGGGCAAGAAGGGAGGAGGTGTAGAGCCTGTCGGAGAATTGCGGTAGAGCAAGAACTAGGCGGGAGAGGATGGACTGGCTCCCAGAAGCTGCCTGCAATGGGGGGGTGTGTCTGGGCAGCAGTAACCCTTCCCACACGTGTTCCTAGGAGCTGGGGGGCAGCATGAGCGGGTGAAGGAGAGGGGCACTAGGTGAACCATGCTCAGGCACGCCTGCATCGGGGGGCTGGCATTTACTGTGCCCGTGTGGTGGGCTGCAAGAGCCCCTTTCCTTTGTCCAGCCTGAGCTCCAGCCTCGCTAATATGAAGCTACAAATACTAGTGGCAAGAAGCAGAGAGCCAGGCACCGCCGTGCAGAGGGGCGGACAGCTCAGACAAAGCCCCTTCCCCACCACCTCCAGGGACGGATCTGGTACTCACATGTCCTTAGCTGGCAAATTCTTCCCTTCAACTATCCGGATGAACAAAGAGCTCCTCTTGGCCATTGCACGGAGGGGCAGCAGCTCTCCGCTGTCAGACCCGAGCTGGTCCCGCCTGGGCGGCAGGTGGAGCAGGAGGAGGGAGGGATGCTGCAGCGGGGGAAGCCCGCGGAGCGAGGAGGGGCCGGGCGCTGCGGGGAGCTCCGCGACTCACTTCATTCACCATGTGTGGGAGCGGGGGGCCCGCCCCCGCCAATCAGAGAACTCAGAGAGCTGGAGGGGCGTGGCCAGGGTGTCCCCTCCAGCTGTGATTGGGTGCTGGCCGGAGCGAGCGCCCTGCTGGCGCGGAGACCCGGCACTCGCGCCCCGGAGCGCTGCAGGGTGGGGCGGATGCGCGTCTCACTTGCGCTAACAGACGTTACAAGCAACAGCAAACATCAAGCTCACCCTGCGCCCCCGGCACGTGCTGCCCTTCGCTAAACGAGACCCCTTCTTGCAACTCACAGTCCCGCTTCTCCTCCGGGGTTACACGGATGTAACACTTCCAGTCGCTCCGGACAGACACTGGTGTGAACAGACAACGGGAGCTGGTCATGAGCCCTAGGCCCAGGCTCCGCGCTTCGCAGCCCCAAATGGCTCCTCAAGTGAGAGGATGAAAGCAAAGGCTCCACCAGCCCCAGCTCGTCCAGGGTGGAGGGAGTGTGGGCCCTGGCTAAGTGGTGACACTTGAAGAGGTGACTTCCCAAATTTTTCCCGGCTCTGCATCAGGGGACTCGCAGATAGCAATCTAGAAAGCCAAGGATCCTACAACTTGTAGAAGAGTAACACATGGTTGATGTTTGGTGTGTGCCCAGGGATGCTCTCAGCAACTGTCTCAGGCACGCTGCCAAGAGCCATGTTGGAGAGCCCTTGCAGGGCTCTAACAGTGACCACATGACATTGGACTTTTTTCCCCGTGTGGAGAGAAACGTGGGAGGGACCATATTTCAACAACCGTCTTGGGAATGCTGTGGAGATGCTACCGACCAGCCATTCTCAACCAGGGTCCTGTGTCACCCTGGGATGCCATGAGCCCTTTTAAGAGTGATGCAGGATATTGGGCAATATTAGCACCGTTAGAAGTGCAAACTCCTACGCAGGATTCACACGATAAATCTAGAGATTTCAAATAGGAATCCATTGCGTCAACATTTTGCCCTGTTGTGGTCTTTCTAACTTCTTTGCAATAGCAGAATTGCTCTATTATTTCTTCCTAGTCAAAAAACTTGTGAAATCTAAAAGCTGGCATTTTCTGAGGGGAGCCTTGAGTCAAAGAGGGGTGCCTTCAGTACCACTGGCATCGACATGCCAAGAGCATGGCAAAACAGATTATAATTAGGGAAGCATGCAACTATCTCCTATTACTATTGCAGTAATTGAAGTAGGAGTAATTTTGCAGTAGCAAATAGTCATGGCCCAGAACCTTGTTATGTCAGCATGGTATTGACACAGGACCAAAAAAGACTATAAACCAGAGGTAAACAACCCCTGGCACACATGCCAGAGTGTGGCATACAAAGGCATTTTGCTTGACACTTGCACCTTGGGGAAGGGGCCAGGGCTGCGCTGCCACAACAAGGATTGGGCCCCTCACAACTCCCCCGCCATCTGCCCCTGGAACCAACATCTTACAAGTCGAGGTTGGCACTTTGCCCCAAAACATTGCAGATCCCTATTATAAATGGTGTGGGGCAGAGACAATCTAACTCACCAGGTGTTAGAAACCACTGCTGAAAACAGAAACGTAGTTGATCAGAACCAAAGGTTCTCTATAGTCATTAGATCAAAGGGAAAATCTTATTCAAGAAAAACAAGGAAACAGCAAGACCAAGAGATCTTTCCTTAAGAGTGAAAGGAATCATGAATGAGTCCATGGAAAACAAAACCTTTCACCAGTGCAAATGAAAAGAGCATCACCCTTATGGAAAATGCACCAGGAAGCAAGAGGAGACTCCAGCTCTGTATTCCCATGACTGGACACAGTTGTACAGAGACATATAGGGCCAGATCCCAGTCATTTGGTAGCACAGTCCCCAGCTGGCTGAATGCCTCTATTTGACCTGTGAAGGCCATAAGGACAACATCACCAGAAATATCCATCCCCCCATTCATTGCAGTAATCTCGTGTTAACCGATCCTCCCAACTGTACATGCTTTCCCGGCCAAAGGTCTCTAAATAGGCCATGACACACCTGAACAGCATGGCAGTGCTCACGTCTGTACAAACACCATTCCTCAGATGAATCTGTGCTCCTCAGTGTAGCCAGGAGACCAGAACATGCCAGGTGGCCTCCTCATGGAGCCCTGTAAAGAGGCAGTGCCTCCTGCAGCTGGCCTTGACTTGCAGTGTGTGCCAGGAACTCAAACAGCAGAGCACTGCAGGAACAGACTGAACAGGATTGTGATTCATGGGGCACTCCACCCTAGTCCCTGGGATTAATTCACTTACCTTGGTGCAAGAGGAGCAGCAGCGGCCATGGCGCATAAGAGAGGAAGGAAGAATTGGGTATGTTGTAAGCTAGAAGCCCAAGTGCAAGCTTTACTCACCAGAGTAGTAATCTCTACTCATTTGAGCAGAGTCTGCAGGCCAAGCCCAAGGTGCTTACTTACCTGTTCAGAGTGAGTTTTCCCTGAGTAAAGACTTCAGGGTTTAACTCATTTACTTTAGTGAAGCTCCTGGTTCACTTAAGATTTACTTGCACAAGTAAAGGTCATAGGGCCGTAGAAGGCTTTTTCCTTCTTTATAAACCTCAGGACACTTCCTTCTGTTCTACCTATCCTCAAGTAGGATGTGTCTCCTTTCAGAGCCATGCCTTACGCTGCATGTTTCATCACTTCGACTTGATTGAGAAAAATGATTCACCTCAGAGACTGTAAAGTGCAAGACTGCAGTTTTAGAGAAGGGGCCAGATTCTGCTATCTGTTACACCACTGCAAATCTGGAGTAGATTACGTCAAGGATGCCATTCCAGATTAACATTAGGAAAAAAGGTCAACACTTCATCCAGGCCCAGATGACTTGAGTGTGTCTGTGGCTCATGAGACAGTGAGTAATGGGGCTACCATCATGTTTGGCCTCCTTTGACTCCCTACCCCAAATAACAAGGTTCCCATTTACAGCTGGGTCAACATGGGGCTTTTAGCCTGAATCTAGTGGAAGGCTTAGATTCACGACTCTGGACTTACAGCAAGATACCTGAACTGCTTTGCCACTGGGCCCCATATGAGGGAAAAGCAGCGTAGAATGCAGCTCAGTGCTACTTGTGCTAAGGAAACAAAGGGCACCTATACATGTGATGGACGCTAATTAACATCGTGCGCTAATTAACATGCATCAGAGCAGACTCAATAAATCGAGTCGGCTGCAAGTCTGCTGGAGCATGCTAATTAGTGTGCTCCAGCAGCCTCCGTGTCACCGCATTTCAAAATGGCAGCCAGGGCACTTTAATTAAAGCTTGTTCAAAGTGTTAAAGCATGGGACGCTGAATACACATGACGCTGGAGGCACTTTAATTAGAGCAGCTCTCAGAGCTGCTCTAATTAAAGCACCACCCCCCACATCCTGGAGCATGTGTATAGATGCCCAAATTCTTTATACAGCTTAGATTAGTTCTGCTTCACAAGTACAGTTAGTAAGTGACGGACAGACATAAGAAGCATGTTACAGGTATGCACAGCATGCATTATGGATGGGTAGAAGCACATCAATAGAAGTTGTCGGGGGATAACAAACAACTTTTGACCTCTATAATAATTAGCCATTTATTAAAAACGCTAGTAATAATTGATTTATGAAAGTAGGACCTCTTAAGTTTAACCAAGAATACTCAGTTTCTAGGATGCTGTGCAAGTGCCAGATGTTCACATGAACATCAAATGTTCCCTTCCTATTGTGCCCCTTGTTTGAACATGGGTTAGCTGAAAGGCAATAGGGCTTGCAATCAGAGCAAAGAACCCAGGTGTCCTGATTCAGGGTGTGTAGAGGTGCCACTGTACTCTGTCTGCCTATGCTACTCACTCCTCTCTGCCAGCTGCTCCAGCTTCCACTCATTTTCTTCCCCTCCCCTCACATTCTTGTTGTATCTTATTTGAGGAATTAGAGGACCTGATTCAGATGTCACCCACAGTAGGGGAGATATCCACTGAAGTCAAAGGAGTTACACTGATGTACATGTGTTCATTGGCATGCAGGCTAAGGAAGTTTGTTTTATCCCAAGAGCTCTCAACCTTTTTCTTCCTGAGGCCCACCCTAGCATGCTATAAAACCCATGCCACCACAACTGCCTGGGTCCCCAGTGCTGCCGCACAACCCCAGGTGCAGCGAGTGGGGCTCAGCATCAGGGAGCTCTGGGTCCCCACTCACCTGAGCAGTAGCAGCAGGGAGCCTCACCCACCTGTTCACTCATAGGGCAAGATGGAGGCTGTGGGGCTGGGTGGGTCAGACCTGCCCCCCCCACTTCCTCCGGATTTACCCTGCACCAGGACAGATGCACCCCCTGAAACCCGCTGGTGGGCCCCTGGGGAACTGTTGATTTATCTGATAACCTCCTGCAAGTTGATTCTCGTGGCAACATCCACACCACATCCTGAATGCAAATCCAAGCCAATTAAGTCACTACCACTCTCGCTCGGGTTCAGAGCAACTTGCACTTGACCCACAGGTAACTTACTCCAGTGTTTAGGTCACAGCTGATTTTCTCCCTACAGAGTGGACACTTTATTTTCAGAAATCCATGTGACTGGATGTAGCAAACCGAAGCTCAATCAAAGATTAAGAAGTGGCTTTTTCTGCAAATTTAACATCTTCATAGCATCTTATGAAGTAAGCCACTGCTTACAAAAGCTTATGTATCTCAGATTTGATTAGTTTACAAGGTGCAAATTTATCCTGTCTTCTCCAAACTAAGCCATATAGCATTTTACTAACAGCAGCCTCCAGCAGGGCAGGCTGAGCCAGGATCCCGTTTCACAAGCACAGAATGAGTACAGGGGGCTCTGATCCCCCACTGAAACTGGCAAGAGCAGATATTGATTTCAGCCAATTTCCTCCTGATTTTACACTGGGACAAGACAAGACAGTTCCTGGCAGTCCCTCAGGCTCACTAGTACCATGAAGAGCTGTTGGGTTTCTTTGCAACCATAGGCCTGGATTTAAC